CATCTACCGGTCTCTCCGTGTCACCCGCAGCGACGCAACGTCTCGCCTATCCATCACGCAATCGCAAGTAAGCTCCATTGATCCGGCCTCCTTGCTCTTATTTTGTACGCCATCCATGCTGCTAGTGCTGGGGACTTACGGTACGGGAGAGAAAATATTGGGGAAAATTTGCATTCAGATCTTTTCCATACAAACACTCAGATCCCATCGACAGAAAAAACATAAACAAACTAGTATGCAACTAACAGAGGACTTACGGGAAACTACAGTCTACAGGGCAAGCTGTTCGTACTTTGAGCGCTCCTGAAAATTATAAGACATACGTAAATTTATTATTAGTTCAGTTTACACTGTTGAACCATTTTATTCATCCTCTACCCACAAATATACCTGTCGTATCCGTGTAACATAGCATAGGTAGTCAGATCGATCGCAAAACAGTGATCGTGTCGCCGTTGCTACAGCCTACAGGAGGATCGGTCGGTGATTTGGCGACAGTCCTCAGGCAGCCCCTCGATTAGAAACATTATATTATACAATTATATATATATTTTTCTGCGGGAGACATATATACATTATAATTGCTCGTGAGTTCATTTTTCTAGTGTGATAGGGCCCCATTTTGTAGTTTCGCACAGGGCCCCGGATTTTGCCGGCCCGGCCCTGGTACTGAGTTGGAACCGCCGTGGCGCGGGCAAACCCGCGGCAGTTCAAGAACTTCGCGAGTTCGCGAGGAAGTTTGCCCCTACCGTGCTTTGCATTGTTGAAACACAGATATCAGGAGCACGTGTAGAATCGTTTTCGAGTACCTTGGTTTTTGATAATGCCTATGCTATAGATAGCCAAGGCAGAAGCGGAGGGATTGGAATTTTCTGGAACAACAATATTAACATTGAGATTCTGGGCGACTCGGTGTACCACATTGACGCAAAAATTGTGGAGAATGGAAGAGATCCGTGGAGATTAACGTGTGTTTATGGTGAGGCCCAAACTCACTTGCGGCATCAAACATGGGATCTGATGAAGGGTTTGTCTGCTCACAGCTCTTTGCCATGGCTTTGTATTGGAGATTTTAATGAAGTCTTACGTCGGGACGAGCATGAGGGCGTTGCAAACCGTAGCAATGCCCAGATTCAGGGATTTCGAGATGCTGTGGACATATGCATGTTGATGGATCTGGGCTATCAAGGCAGGTTTTGGACTTTCGAGAAGAAAGTGTCGGGAGGCTCCTACACCCGTGTCCGCCTGGATCGAGCGCTGGCAAGTTCGGAATGGTCCACACTGTTCCCTTTGGCAAGAGTAACACACATAACTTCAGCATCATCTGATCACGGACCGATAGTTCTGTAGCTTGAGGAAAACATACCACGGTCAAAACCGAGCTTCCGTTATGAGGTTATGTGGGAAGGTCACGAATCATGGCGGGATACAATCACAACCGGGTGGAATGAGAACCAAGGAGAGACAAGTGTGGAAGCGTTACGCAATAAACTTACAGTGTTGTCCAACACCCTCGCTAGGTGGAATTCTGACACGTTTGGGAATGTCCGGTAGGAAATCAAAAAAGCAAAAGCAGAACTGGAAAAGCTACGTAATGCTCCCTCTCGGACGTCGCCGAACCACTTGGAGATGAAGTTGAATGAACGTCTCGTTGAGCTGTATCATAAAGAGGAGATTATGTGGAGACAGAGATCAAGGATAACATGGTTAGCTGAGGGTGATAGGAACACTAAGTTTTTTCATATGAGAGCTAATTTGAGGCGGAAGAAGAATATGATCAAGGCGCTTTCTAATGCGCTGGGTATACGCACAAACAATTCGGTAGAGATGAAACAAATGGTGACCGATTTTTACCGTACTCTATATTCATCTGAAGGGGTTCAGGGCATGGACGAGGTACTACAACATGTACCACAGAAAGTCACTAATGAGATGAACTCTGCTCTATGTGCTCCATACATTGTTGATGAGGTAAAGAATGCACTCTTTCAGATGTTTCCCACAAAGGCACCGGGGCCAGATGGGTTTCCAGCACATTTCTACCAGCGACACTGGGACATATGTGGGACTGAGGTGACCAATGCAGTGCTCAGGATAATCAGAGGCGAAGAGAGTGCAACATGTATAAATGATACTATTCTGGTTCTTATTCCCAAGGTATCTGATCCCACCCTCTTAACACAGTTTAGGCCTATCAGTCTATGTAATGTGCTTTATAAGATAGCATCGAAGGTGGTAGCCAACAGGCTAAAGTTGATATTACCGGATATTATTTCAGATGAACAGTCGGCCTTTGTCCCTGGAAGGTTAATTACTGATAACATCATCTCTGCCTATGAATGTTTGCATTTCATGAAGAGGAATAAATCTAAATCTAATAGTTTTTGTGCACTGAAGCTTGATATGATGAAGGCCTATGATCGATTGGAATGGCCATACTTAAAGGCCATTATGGGCAAACTTGGTTTTGCATCAACCTGGATTGATATGGTGATGAGCTTGATCACTTCTGTTTCTTTCTCAGTCCTGTTCAATGGTGAGAAGTTGGAAAGTTTCACGCCGACGAGAGGTATTTTGCAGGGAGATCCTATTTCCCCTTATCTTTTCTTGATTGCAGTGGAGGGCCTTTCGTGCCTTTTAAAACATTGTTCTCAGTCATCATCGCTTGGTGGAATAAAGGTGGCTAACACTGCTCCAGCAGTAAATCACCTCTTGTTTGCAGATGACAGCCTGCTGCTTTTCAAGACAAGTACTCAGGGGGCAAATGAGGTTTCAATCCTACTGGATTCTTATTGTTCTGCATCGGGTCAGAGAATCAACCATGATAAATCTTCAATCTTTTTTAGTAGAGGATGTCCTGGGAGTCTTAGAGATGAGGTAAAAAACATCCTTAATGTTCATAATGAATCTCTAAGTGACAAGTACCTGGGTATGCCCACAGATGTGGGACAGTCCAGGAATGGGGCTTTCAGATACCTCAGAGATAGAGTGTGGGAGAAAATAAAAGGATGGATGGAGAAACTTTTGTCAGCAACAAGCAAGGAGGTACTGATTAAATCAGTGGCCCAAGCAATTCCAGTGTTCTCCATGTCTTGCTTCCGGTTGCCTAGAGGGCTTTGTGAAAGTGTGACTTCACTCATCCAACAATTTTGGTGGGGGGGTAAGAGAGGTAAACGCAAACCTGCTTGGGTTGCTTGGGATTTGATGACAAGACCAAAGAGTTTGGGGGGCCTTGGCTTCCGGGATATAGAGATTTTTAACTTGGCCCTATTGTCAAGACAAGTATGGAGAATCTTGAATGAACCATCAACTTTAAGTGCTAGAATTCTTAAAGCTGCATATTTTCCAAACTGCTCTATTCTTGAAGCAGAATTGGGGGCTCATCCTTCTCAGGTGTGGCGTGCTATTCTAGATGGGAGAGACATTGTCAAGCATGGAGCAATCAGAAGGATCGGGGACGGAGCTTCAACTAGCATCTGGTCACAAAACTGGATACCAAGGATAGGGGTGATGAAACCGATCTCATCACGTGTACCAAATCCCCCACGCTTGGTGTCGGAGTTGATTGACCACTCCACGGCTTCATGGAGGGAGGACTTAATTCGTCAGGTGTTCCTTCCTATTGATGTTGAGGCAATTTTACAAATCCCACTCTGCTCACGCCAAGTTGATGATTTTTGGGCTTGGCAAGAGGATAATAAAGGCCGGTTCTCTGTCCGATCTGCGTATCGTATGGTTCTCAAAACGAAGATCAGCCGGGAGGCGTGGCTGGAAGAAAGAGATGATCCATCTAATTCAGAGGCTGAATCCAGGGGATGGATATCACTCTGGAAGACGAAAGTACCACCAAAGTTGAGATTTTTTGCGTGGCGCTTAGCACAACATTCACTCCCCACGGGAGATGTGCTTCTTCACCGCAATATGGCAACAACTTGCTCGTGTCCTCTCTGTGGAGCGCCTGACAACTGGCGCCGTGCCTTGCTAGAGTGTACCGCATCCCGTTGTGTATGGGCTTTGTCAAATGAGGAACTGGTGGAGCACATGACCATGACTACGCAGACAGATGCTAAGCTTTGGCTCTTCTCAATGAGCGAGTCCCTCCCGCCGGATCAGTTTTTGTTGATGACGGTCACACTATGGGCAATTTGGAGCAGCCGCCGGAAAGTTATACATGAGGATATCTACCAAACTCCTTTTGCAACTGACAGATTCATCAAGTCATACTTGGCGGATATTGAGTTTCTATGTAAGAAGAAAGATAGGGCACTTTCGCAGCCGAATGCAAGGCCAAGTTCATGGATATCGCCACCACCCGAGCACATGAAGATCAATGTGGATGCAGCTGTTTCTAGGACGGGGACTTTTGGCGCTGCCAGTGCTATGTGTAGGGACGAAGCAGGGGGGATTCCTTGGAGCATCGACACTTGTTCTTAATAACATCTTTGATCCCCAGATTCTCGAGACCATAGCAATACGAGAAGCACTAGCTCTTGCCCAAGATCTCTATATCAACAAGATGAACATAGCATCGGACTGCAAGGTGGCCATCGATGCGATAAAGGAGGGGAGTGCTGCAAATTTTGGTGCAATAATTGCAGAAATCAAAGATACTTCTAGTAATTTTTCTTCGTGCATTTTTAGTCATGAGTATAGGACCTCGAATGTAGAGGCCATAATCTCGCAAAGTACGCTTTATCCTTAGGGTTCGGCCGTCATGTTTGGCTTGGTCAGCCCGGAGATCTTGTATTCGTCCCTACAAACATTGTGACGCAATAAAGCTTTGTGAGATTCTCAAAAAAAAAAAATCCATCCAAAAACTTCTGCTCGTCTGCCCGGCGGCTGCAACAGCGACCATCGGCCGGCGCCTCTCCTAAATCGCGGCGCATCGATTCAGGCGAGCTTCCCGTTCCCTCCCTTCATTGCAAGCCCAAGTTGCTGCTTCTATTCCCCACTTCGTTTCTTGACACTCTTTCTATATTCACAGTCCAACCCTAGCTCAGATGAGCCGCCGCCGTTCCCCGCCGTCGGCGCCCCCACTGGACGACGAGGACCTCCTCCGGGAGATCCTGCTGCGCCTCCCTCTGCAGCCATCCTTCCTCGCCCGCGCCTCCTCGGTCTGCACGCGCTGGCGCGGCATCCTCTCCGACCCCCAATTCCGCAAACGCTTCCGCAGACACCATGGGAAACCTCTGCTCCTCGGCTTCTTCGCGGGGCCTGTTTCCAGAGAGCACATCTTCACTCCCGTCCTGGACTCGCCGGACCGCATCCCTGCCGCACGCTTCTCCTTGACCATGCCACAGAGCCGCGGCCCCTTCGACCGCTGGGACTTGGTTGGCTGCCGTCACGGCCTCGCCGTCCTGATCAACAAGTGCCGGGAAGAGGTTGTCGTATCGGATCCCCTGACCGGCCGGCAGCAGCGCGTGCGTTTTCCACGGGGGCATGTGCATGGCGATTGCTTATCGAGCCCGTTCAAATTGTTCTTGATACGCAATGGAGACATGCGGACATTAGGCTCTCTCTACGACTCGGTGTCTGGTGTTTGGGGAAATATTTTCTCGGCGACTACAAATAGTATCTGTAGTATAAGGTCCAGCATCTTTGCCGGGAATGCACTTTGCTGGTTGATTTCGGGAGGTGCTGTCCTTGTGTTTGATTTGGAAATGCAGAACCTTAGTGTGATCGAGAAGCCAGCAGAAAACCATGTTGTCGCTAACTCGTGTTTTCAGCTAGTACGGATGGAGGATGGCGGACTTGGCCTCGCTGTTTTGTCGAAACTTACTATCCAATTATGGGTGAGGAACACTAACCATGATGGTGTTGTTGGATGGGTGTTGCTGCAGAAAACCATTCCACTGGACGGGATGTTTAAACGGAGAATGTGTAGTGACCAAAAAGGGGCACTCTTTGTGGGGTATGATGAGGACACAAATGTGATTGTTCTGACTACAATGATTGGCAACTTCATGCTCCAACTTGACTCGATGCAGCTCAAACATATTATTAAAAGAAATGACATATGTTTCGACACCTTTTATCCCTACACGAATTTCTATACTGCAGGTAATACCTACCTATCTAGTACATTGCAAAAGCAAAACAGGGGTCCATTTATTTTATTTTGCTGGCCTTCATTTGAGTTACTTTTGGTACTTGATTCCTGTAATATTGTTCATGTGATTAAGGATCGACAAGATATATATAAAGAATACATTGAGTTGTTTCTTTCTTTGTCGGTCCGGTGATCTTACGGTGAAGTAATTTCTTATTATTGCTTGGTTCATTAATGTTAGAACAGGAATATAATTATTGCTTTGTTGTCTGGCCATTGCTCAATGGTAACTTATGGTCCTGTCCTTGTATTTTTTTTTCATCTGGAAACTGGCAGTAGTATCAGTAGTGTGTGTGTGCTTAAGGATTGACTACCGATATTTATGAACAGTTCTTCACTAACACATCTTCTCTGAACATGAAAATTTCCATATCATATCCTTCGTTACTTGGTAATGATTATTATCCTTCTTCCTTGCATTTGGGGATATATGTGGCTTCATTTACGCATTTATATCCTTGTCACAAAAGATAGCCTTTTGCCCTCAAGTTACATTACATCTTACTCAGAAAATATAACCGTTTGCAGATGTGACATATATACTATTGATTCAGCTTTTCCATTGGTTTATTGGATTCTTTTGCTTGTAGGTAGGAGAATTGCTGGTGGAGATGGTGGAGCTGAAAATGCAAACACATGAGATCTGCTAATGTGCTATGTTGGTTAAACAGGTGATGTAAATTTATCTTTTCTGCATACAACTTAGATGCCGGAGTTTCCCGCTTTCTACTCCATGAGCCTCTCATGTTCACATTATACAAAAATAAATATTGAATGGGTTGATAATCTAGAAAGTTCAATATTTGCCTCTGATGGAGGGCATTGAGCCAACACTAGTGGTTGCCTCGAGAACATGTCAACAGTAGAAGTTGATAGTCCATAGCATAAACTACGAACTAAATGTTATTCGATTGCTAGGATGATAGCCAGTTTTGTTTACTAGTGCTGGGATGATTCATCTTTGCATATTGTTGTATGACCTCCATAGTGTGGGTTGATGTTTATTATTGCTGTAATCATGCAAAATTATGAGATATATCCCTTTTTTCACTCTACATGTATGAGATATAACTTGATCGGCTTCTTGGTGAGTGAGTTGTATAAATTGGTTTTGACATGTGGCATTTATTGTTCTTCAGGTGTTTGGAGTTTTCTTCGGTTTGTTGAGACGCAGAAATGCGGAGATGGCTCTTTGCTGCATGTCCTTCAGCTTTTCTATACTGTGGCTGCTGATGTGGCCGACACTGGCATTGACAATATATGGAGCAGAATGTAGGTTCTTCCGCTTTGTATGATGCGTCCTGTGAAGTGGACTTGTAGGATTTAGTGTGTAATTCGCTAACTTTTCTGAATTACGACTATCTACTAATATTTTCAGGTACTATTAATCCGGTTGCATGCCTAGATAGTGTTTGTGGAGTTGCTTCTGTTAGTGCCTGGATCTGTCAGTGTATTAATACCTTGTGGTTCATTTGCTTTATGTCCCAATAACGCGGGCCTTTATATTTTTGGAATGCATAACATTGCATTTAACTGGTGGAAAGAGCTAAATCGCTCTCCACTAAAGTCAGGCACAGGTCAGTTACCTAAAAAACTGGACTCGTTTATCCTCTTGCTGCCCATTCTGCAAGGGCATGAGCAATAGTATTACATGTTCCTGGACGGTACAGGACTCTGAAATTCAGAAAAATGCAGTCTAGCAAAAGCCTTCACGTCTTCAAAAAAAATCACACACAGGGGTGACAATTCAGAGCTTCCAGCTTCCACACCTTTCAGGAGGTCTCCATTTTTGCCTATGCACTATCTTCTCTTATTTGTTTGATTTCGACAGTTTCAGGAACTCTGTTGTCGGGTGTTTGATCGATAATCCACGCTGCTTCTACTGATTTTTTTTGCCTTACCCTTTCTCTGATTTTCCTTTTGTCGATTCCACAGTGTCCGCTACAACACTATAATGGTCATCCTCCATGCTGCAGATATTTTTTCATCACCTCTCTACCATTTACCCTGGGGCTAAGGAGCACTCTTCGTTCTTCAAATGCACAGTCTCTCTACACTTGCTTCACTAGTTTAATTTGCACTTGAAAAACTGATGCCCACAGTCTTCAAAATCCCCACCGCATAAGAAACAATTTGGATTGATAACCGTCCCTGTTTGATTGAGTTTGATCACAACGGCCAGTGTGCCAACCTCCAAGCAAAGTGCTTTTCATCCTTGTTTGGAACAGTTAACTTTCAGATACAGGGCCAAGGTGGCGAAAGTGCCTTTCTGCTCCCGAGCTCAAATGAGCTCGGTGAACAGTAAAATAAAATAATTCAAAAAAAATCCAATTTTTTTGGAGAAACAATGACAAAAGTTCTAAGTGCTTGCAAAAATTCGCCGTGGAATCACATTTGTGTAATGTGTGGCAAAATAATGTTTCGAGTTCTTTTGTGACAGGGCAAATAATGTCAGCAAATTACTGTTCACCCTCGCCATCACCGGTTTCGAGTTCCTCCCATGGGCAAGGTAGTCACGGATCGCTCCACATGTTTTATTTTCTCCTCTGTACCTAAGATGCTTCTCCACGTATATGAGATGCTAGTGCTAGATAAATCTGTTTGAGCGACACTTAATATAAGACGGAGGGAATAGCATTCAACAAGTGTTGTCCGAAAAATACTTTGCTCCAAGGACTCGCACAAAATACTCTGGATTTTGGATCATCCTCCATCCATGTCGCGCCAGCATTGCCATGTTAAAGCCGCACATCTCGCCAAGCCCTAGACCTCCATCATTCTTCGGTTTTGTCAATGCCAGCATATTATACCTCCGGGTGACTCTGTTCTAGCTTCTTTTTTTTAGAATGCTCTGTTCTAGCTTCATGATCCCAAAAGAAAAATCTCGCAACACAACATTTCACTTTTTATACTTCTAAAAGGACTCGCACAAAACAATTTTTTTTTCACAATGATGTAGAGATCGGAGAGTTCCTCCTTTTCTAGAAAAAAATACTTCTAAAAGCCCAACCTACTGAACTATTTAGATCTAGATAAAACCTGTATGTCCCATTACGACAGAATATTTTCAATAGAAGGCGATGCTCCCATCAATTGCGAGGCATACGTGGCGCTTTCGTCAATCTGAAAACCCGCCAACTCGATCTCTCAAAGACGCTCATAGAAATAGTACTTTGTATGTGTGCATTCATAAAAATAAATATATCTCTGTATGTGCATAAATATGCTACTATATTTTAAAAGGCAGTTTTTTCGATAAAGGATGGATTTTATTGACTCAAAATAAGCATCAAGAAGTTACAAACACAATGAGCAGACATCCGGCCTCTGCATAGTTAGGATGCACACAATCAACACCAATGCACGCACAAGAAAACAGGCCGACAAATAACAAAGTAATACAAGACCAAAACTATTCGTAGGCGAGGAAAGAAGAAAAAAGCCCCAAAGCGATCACATCACGATCGGCAAACTATAACAATGATCATATCTGCATCGACAATCTCATGACACCACGCGGACGACGAGGTTTTTCAACAGCAACGCCTTAAGGAAGGGAGTGGCATTCAAGTGTCACCGTCACCGGATCCAGCCACCCAAGGCTGGAATCTAGGTTTTCACCCTAAAGAATCAGTCCGAACATTCCGAACAATGGCTTCAACAAGGTAACTACGTCGAAACATCGCCATTGTCAAGTATACCCAACTCAGGCCAGACCAAGGCTTTCACCCCGGAGCTCAAGACCGGGTGCTCAAGTAGCACCACCATCGAGGCCATTCATGTGTTGTCGCCACCACTTTTTCACGATCCCAGTAGCTACAAGCGATATGACCGCCGCCACTACACAACAATCCCTCTGCATCAAGACATCGTCCGTAGTTTGCATCTCGCCGCCGAAGTGAACCACCATATTTGTAGAGATGAAACTCTCACAAAATCTTTTGATGGCGACAACAATCCGCGGCGAGGCCGCCGCCGTCCCGGATCCAATCTCCAGTGACGTAGTCAACTAGGTGGACACCAATGCCATGGGTTGTAGCTAGCCAGCAGTCTTTGTTTTTGTGTCTTCAGGTTGAATTCTTTTGATCTACGCTACAGTTCATCGGTGGCGGTTGTTGTTCTGTTGCGCTGGTCCTATGGGGCCTTAGCACGACGACTTTTTGATTGTCTACTACAACAAGTTTTGCCCAGTTCCGGTGAGGGAGGGGCGATGACAGCGACACGTGTCGGCTCGTTTCAGTGTTTATAGTCGTCGCTAGGTGCTCTACGGATCTGGATGCAATTTTTACCCCCTCTGTTCCAAAATAGATGATTCAACTTCTTACTAATTTTATACAAAATTGAATCATCTATTTTGAAACGGAGGGAGTATTATTTCTAGTGTTCGATGTACTACCATGATTAAAGATAAATAGATCAAATTTTTTACGCAATTCTTTTTATTAAAGAACAACTTCAGCTTACGGGCTGATGGATACCATCCGTATGATCGTGGCCCAAGCATATCCGTAACCGAACGAGTTCTTTTTTTTTGAAATGAAACATCCTTTTATTTACGAAAATGTTAACGCCCACACGTGTGGGTGTTGAACATCTCGACCACACGCATCCATCACCGTCCTGTACTATATGCATGAATCTTGGCACAATCTGACTGATTTTCTGTGCCATGTAGGACAAGGTGTGTGTGTGGTGTATGACATAGTTCGTCCACACATCTTTTTTACCACACAGAGGGGCCGGTGTGTGGGCGTTTAGCAGTTCACCCACACATCAGTTTTCAGTCACGCACAAGGGCTGGTGTGTGGGTATTTGCCATCTCACCCACACACCCGTCTCCTCTCCCACACCCCAGCTGCTAGTTGCCATGTGTTTTTGCAGCGCACATGGCAACTGTCCCTAGTGTGCTTTATAAGCAGGTGGCAACTCTCTTATTTTATCCGAGTTGCCATGTGTTTTTGCAGGGTACACGACAACTGCCTAGTATGCACGTAAGCAGATGGCAATTCTCTTTTACCGAGTTGCCATATGTTTTTGCATGGTACATGGCAACTGCCCCAACGTGCACGTACATGGCAACTGCCCTAATGTGCACGTTAGCAGATGGCAACTCTTGCTTTTTACATGGCAACTGCCCTAGCATGCTTGTGAGCACATGGCAACTCTCTCAACTGCCTAGTGTTAGTATGTGGCAACTTCTAAAGTTATGAAATCATGGCAACTACATTAGATCAGACCATACATGGCAACTGCAGTTGAGCAACCATGGCAACTGCAGTTGTCCGACATGGCAACCGTAGTTCAGCGACATGGCAACTGCAGTTAAATAAACATGGACAAGGGTCAGGACCATGGCAACTGTGGGCGCGCGGTGGGCGTCACGCGTCGCATGCGGGACCAGGAGGGTACGGGGCCTGACATACGGGCGTGTGAGCGTTATCAACTTCGCCCACACGCACGCGTGTGAGAGGGTTTGGAAGGGAAAAAAAGATGTGTGTGGGCATTAGTTGTTTTGCCCACACGTAGGTATGTGGGCTGGTTGCTGTCCATGCCACACGAGGCGTGTGGCACAACTACCCGATATACCACACGTGTGGCAGTTATCGGGACCCTTTATTTATTAGTAATAATGGTTACATC